ATTAAAAGTATAAGTTCCACAAAAGGTTCTTGGTAGAAACTAAGTTGAAATTAAAATATAGATACTACTACTAGGTATACATGTTTATGTCAGTGTTAAATATTTTCTCTTTTAATTGAACAAGTTGAAATCTGTAGGCTTTATAAACATGATAACAACACAGTATGTAGACACTGAAATCTATGTGTAGGTTGTCTGTTTTTCACAAATTTGCAATGAAACATGGCAAAAGCGAGTTTGATACGATTCATAACAGGATAAAATCGCTTAATTTTACGGTTCTTCATGTATTTGTATCATTTTAAGAATATTTTAATAAATTTTATGTGTCGTAGGTTTCTATAATTTCAGGAGTATTAGTTTATTGATTAAAAGACTACTTAATTGAATTGTAATTCTGAAGTGAGAATTTTCATTGATTAATTCTAATTGAAAAACTGAATTTTCTAAGGATAAAACAAAATTTCGTAAATGTAATACACGTGTGATAATAACGTAAACATGCAAAAAGAAGTGCACTTCAAATTGTGTGTTTTCACATTTACAATTACTATACCAGAATTTGAGCAAACAAATATTTGTTTCCAACGGAGTCAGTATTCATTAAAAAAGTCATTAAATATTGTGCATTTTTTTTCAAAATCATGCGGTTTGAAATGAAACATTTTGACATTTCGGTGCGCCTATTAATTTACCTGCATTCATTCGCAATATATTCATGCATTTTTCAGATTTTTCACAATTTGCTGTTTGTGGCGTGAAAATTCGAATCGTCGGGTGTCAGAAACGAGGAATTGCACAGGTAATTTGCACATCGTTAACAAAACTGCGTTTTGTATCTTATGACAATAAGCAAATACAATTTTTTTTACAGAAAAGTTGAAAAACATAGCATTTTTCATCCAATTAGGGCAGCGTACAAATAACTTTCGTAATTTTAGAAATTTTACCAGCCTAACAGGATTAACTCGTAACGCCTGTCGCTTACATTGAGACAATGCTTCCCTACAGCAACGGGAAATAAAATGCATAAACACAAGGAGGTTAACCTCCGGCTAGTTCTCCGATAAGATCTGCTCTTAAAAACGGGGGTTAGCGCGAGTATTAATCATATTTTAGACATAGGATTAGGGTTTCAAGCCGTGATAAGATACGGTCTTTTCGACTCATGCGGAGGGGTCGACTATCCACGGTATATGATGGATGAAGCGCAAGGGGTGCAAGCCGAATTCACAAAGAACTGTAGATTATACGGATACACTATTGATAATGGTATAAAATTCAAAACAGAAGTGAACGTATAGGGGTGGTTTTAAGAAAGTAAATTTAGTGTTCACCTGTTGTGTAATAAATACAATTATCTATACGTTTATTTCAATGTTAGTTGTCATGTTAATGAGCACCGAAGATAATATAGAAGACTTAAAAGTTGAAAATTAGATACTATAATTATAAAATTTTATGGACACAACTGTACTTCCAAAATTGGCGATATCACGCAAACATAAATTGTGCGATTTTTGTTAGATACTTAGTAGTAAATTGAACTAATGTGAAAATGTAACCAATTTTCATCTTATCTAGCCGATTAGAAAATAAAATCCCTTTACGACCGCATTGCGCGAAATCGAATTCCCTTTTATCTAAACCTCTTTGTCCGATATCGGTGGACGCCTTTAGGGGTAGATCGAAGCCGGGAGCGCCTTCTATGAAGAAATGTATTACTGATAACATACATCTACTACACAATGCAACTTGTACATCCCCGTCGCATTAACTGCTTTTAAAATATATCGTAAAATCTTCTTTTCTGACCCCTCGCCTTCGGACTTTACGACGGGTAATTTCTGCGGAAAATTACTTTCGGCGGGTTTACTTCCTACTGCAGTTTTTCTTTTTTTTAATAGGATTTTTATGGGTTGTAATGTTATTCGAGTAGCATGTTTTATTACGGGTTTTAGGTGGTTACTCTACATTTGTCGCAAAAATTTTAGTAGTAACATTTAAGTAATGGATTACGTTATGTTTATCACAGCAAAAATTCCCATTTTTATTTTACATAAATTTAGAACTACTGGTAAATAATAAATATAATGGAGTATTACGTTCTTAATAGAGATCTATCTATTTAAAGATATAAAAAATATTGGTATTCATCGCTGCTGATTGGTATAGACGCTTTAGATAAATGGCTAATTTACGCAATTCGAAGGGCCCAAACTACAAAGTTATTGCGATTGTTAGTGGAGTTTCTTCAATTGTTTCGGGGCATGCTTGATTAGGGTTCGGGTTTAATTAATAGTTCAGGGATCTTAAGAGCGACCTTCTCTCTATGCCCGTTCGGCTCCAGTTCGCACACGGCAAAGTGGGTGTAACAAGTTTCAACCGGGCAAACATCGTTAGCGATAATCGCTTTTATAGGTGGTTGTTTTATTTTTACCCTTTTTTTCGGGTCGGCGGTTTCATCGAGCTAATTACGCTATGGGGTTGAAGCATATTAGAAATTGTATGCCTACTTGCGGTTTGTCTTTCTCTGCATTCCTGCATCCGCTTCTATTATGTCCCTGTACGTGATGGTGCATTCCTCTCCGTAAAAGAAAAATTCTCCGCACCGGTTTCGCAATTAAATTAATGTATAAATAAACAAAGTCCAAGATCAAGTCCAAGTTGAATGGTTGAATCGTTGGCAGCGTAATTAACATGAAACCGCGAGGCGGTCTTTATTACATCAGGTTTTCTCATTAAGTGTCGCGGCGAGAGAACGAGACGCAAATAGAACGGGCACCAAAAAGAAGCGAAAAAAACTACTTTCACACCTGGACAAATAGCCGTCTTGTCTGCGTCCGCAGTGATATATATTTTATATTTTGTATAATAAGGAAGGTATTTTTTATATTAAAATGAATTTTTTATTTTTGTTTTTGTAATGTGTAATAAATACTATTTTTTATATACCCGTTTAATTCTTAATCATTAGAATAAGTAAGTACTTACATCAAGGTCTCTTCATTATAATATTGTTAAAACTATTACCAAATTTTATTACGTACCTACATAAAAATAAAATATAAAGTTTTAATGGAAATAAATGCGTAAATAGGTAGATTATGTATATGTATGTTGAAATTAATGAACACGGAATGACCTTTACCTATAACTAAACATACCTTACAAACTTTGTAATTTAAAGTAAATTTTATTTTTCAAGAAAAAATAAAAGCATATCTGTGTATCTTTGTAGGTATAGAGAGTTAATTTGGAATTGAATAGCCATTAGCAGTAACAAGGCTTTTTAAGAAGTCTAAAAATAAATATTTACATTAAGTGTTTATTTAAGTGTTCTATTGCGCAACGAACAAAATGAATATTTATCAATCGTATAGTTATTAAGGTCGACGGGTTAAAAGTGAATCCACGTTATACTAAATTTTTCAAATATCTACTATATTCGTTACTTATCATTCTAATTTCGAGATCGTGTCTAGAGAACGTTATACGTGGAGCACTAAATTTCTATAAAACTCGTCTAAATAGTTACCTATACGTATTATAAAGGTACCGGCACACTAAAATTTTATCGTCATATGTAAATACATATGTATGTTTTTATAGTAATGTGAACCTTGAAAATTATATTATCACAAAATAATGTTTTGAGTAACTCGTTAAACTTTGTTGCTTAATGTTTTTGTGTCAAGAGAGATGTCGAAAAACTTGTTCCAAATAAATTGTAACTTTATTTTATGCATTTTTCTTTATATAACCACATAATAAATAATACAATGTAATTATCAACAAAATAAAGGAAGTTTTTTCAATTTTTACATTGATGTGCACTATAGAGTGTAGTTCATACCGCGCGGTTCAATAATACCTATCCGATATAATCTAAATACAAAAGCTATCGGAATAGATGCAAAAGATACACTCTCATCAAATATTTATTAAATTATCAGAAGTTATACTTGCATTGTACTAGACTAGACAGTTATACCGAAGTGTAATGATAAATAGTGACGATTATACGATGTTATTTGAATATTAATAGACAAATTGCAATTGCATATAGACGTCTATAAATCCCAGCAAACTAATATGGGCGGTGGAAATGTTTTGAAAATTCAACCAATAATAAAATATGCAAATCTATAAGAAGTAAAGGACAGTATGCGACCGTATATAATTAATAGATGTCCTATGGCGTTGTCCATGCGGTTTATTTTGTAATAATTATTCATAAAACACGCAATGTTTAATTACGATAATTATAATAATGTAATTACCGGTTGGTGGGACAAAATGTTAACAACGTAAGCTATTAACAAAAAGATTTAAATACAATATTATTTAGAGTTAATAAAGTTGATTAGACAAAATTCAATATCAGTAAGTTTAAAATGAGATCTCATCATATGATTGTGAATTATAACAATATAAGGAATTAAATGTAGATAAATTATTCGTTAGTTTTTAAAATAGCTACTTAAATTAATTATTTTCTGTAGTAATAGTAGAAAAACCGTTTCCTGTGATAAATCTTTTAGCGGCAATTCGATGATCTATAAAAAATCTAAAAGAAAAATGTTACATATGATGGTTGTTTACTACACTTTGTATAATTAAAATAATTCGTAAAAAGAAATTTAGGTAAAGAAAATTAGGTACCTGCTCACACGAGACGTGAAAACGAATAGCGTTTGAGAAATTAGAGAATAGATATCAATTCTGAAAGTTTTTTAACCTTTAAAGGCATATTGTTTCTTGTTTCGTCTCTAGGCTGAGCACGTCCGTAAATAGCTATCTACCGTTGTTGCTGTTTTTAAGTTAAGGAAAAACGAAAGTTTATTTTTATCTATTGAATCATTTTAGGTCATCGCCAATTTGGGTACAGGTATCTCTCATAAATTTTCGCCGAGATTTAAATCTACTACGTGATTTAGATTCGAATTACAAAGAAACGTGATTTCATTAAAAGCTTTAAATACTCGAAGAATATTTACCTCATCAAGCAAACATGTTCCATCCACAATCAGAACACCTTCGTTATCCATACATTTTCCATCAACGAACAAATTTTATTCTAAACAGTTACTCTAACTGAAGAAAACAATACAAAAAAAATAAAACAGCACAAGTGAACCGTCTCAAAAAAACGCTTTAAACCATATCGCATGTACGCACAGATATTTCGAATGAATATCGCGATCGCGCACCGAGCGAAGCCAAAACGACAACACAAACTCACCAAGTGGAGTCGAAAACTGAACTAAACCAAACTACATTCAACTCGAGCTCCACACCAAACGACCCGACGACCGACCGTTCGTTTTGCGCTAGCGATTCGAAGGATGGGGGAAAAAAGGATGGTGAAAAACGCAGTCGAAGTCCTTTCCTTACGTTTGTTGGTAAACTTTAGCAGGCATTTGGAGCGTAGTGACGTCCATTGAATTGTACAGGGCGACTCGTAGGATAGTAATAGTAGCGATTAGAAATTAATGAGGGTATAATATTAATGAGGAAATGGTAATTTAGCGTGTGCATTATAGCTGTTTTTGTAGATTTAGTAAACTGAATGTAACCTAGCTGTTTTTAACACTAGTTGCTACAATTATATACCAGCTAGTGTCAATGATTACACAATTTATGGACTATATTTTCTATTTAATCATTCCAAAATGTAATGAATGGATGAACCTTAAAATAAATATCATCATTATCATTATCGTCATTATCATTCCCATCATTGTAAATTTTGGCAATTTCGGACATTTTAAAAGAATCTGGAGAAGAAGTACTGATTATAATTTGCAAATGCTTCATTGTATGATGCTGAAAGGAAAGGGCCTAAAATTTAGATTCCCGTGGGAGCTATCTATATTAACTGAATTATTGTAGGATACGTAGATTGCTAATAATGGTCCATTTAATTGACCCGCTCCATCGCCATACATAAATCCTTTCGCAGATTACCCGATATTATATCAGCATTTTAATTAGTATATTTTTCCATATACTTTTAATGGGCCATCATCGTGACACAAGCTGTGTAAGTATACCTAATACATGCCTCTTCCTTACAACCTACCAATTTTTTAGATCAAAATGCATAATTAATAGTTATTACATCTCAAACATTTTTGTACAAATAATAGCTAGGTATAGCACCAACTTTAAAACTTCGCTTCGATCGCATCAAATCGTCGCATTCGAAATGAATCGTCGGATCCGCGCTAAAACCGGTTCGATCGCGCTCCGCATAATTCCGCGGAGAATTTCTTTTAAAATTCGCCAGCGTCCCTTTGGCGAACGTTTTTCGTCGAGCCTAAAACGTATCCTGGATACGCCGCAATTTCGAACAATAGACGATGAGAACGGGACGGGCCGAGTTTCGCGGAAAAACGCGCCTCCAGCGAACGGCGATTAGGGCGCTGGCAATCGTTTCGGCGATTAAAACAGCGACGGTACGCCGTGAAGCCGAAGAGACGGAAAGAGACAGGGCTGGAACGATGGAAGCGATAGATAAAGAGAACCGGGCATTGTTAAGCAAATTTTACTCGGTTTATTTTAATCTGTTATAAAATATCAAGTTATTGTGTTATAATATACCAGAACTTAGTAAATCCTTGCGATGTTTCACACTTTTTGTCAAAGGTTAATTCAAATCTTCTATTCAAATTTAGAATACAATGCGAGATTATTTTTTAATGAAGAATGAAAGTAGGTAGGTAATAACAATTTTACGGTCACAACATATACCTACCTAATATTTTTGCTATTCTTCTAAGCTAAATTAAAAACTAAAGAAAAAAATCCGCCTAATGAAATATCCCCCGAAGCGTGATTCACTAAATTTCTTTCCCTCGACGGAAATAGCACCGAAAAGAAGACTTAACCTATCCCTATTAATCAGAATGAGATATAGTCCGTCCGAAAATCCATTAAATCAAAGGTGTTGGAGTCGGCCACGCCATGCCCGGTGCATTGTTTGAATTTACAAGCGGACTCTTCGTGTTCTGGGGGACTTTATCATCGCATCGCCATTTGACTAATCGCATGAAGCACAACACATATTCAGTTTACCGCCGTTTTGTACGGGGATCGGTCAAAACATTCCAAGTTAACTCACCAAAAATCCTTTACTCTTTCATTCTTTGATATTAGAGCAACAGTTGCTACACAAGTATGCTATAAAAAGTATCCTCCGCCTACCCCTCTTCTAAACATACGCGATTTGTCTACTAAATGTAAGCATTAATTCGATGACCTATAATGGATTAGTGAAATTAAATTGAACAACTGGTTGCTTCTTTTATAAATACAAAGTACTTATCCAACTCCCCTGGTATATTAATTCACTCATGTATGCTCTATTTGGTTGTATTCGAACCTGCCCTCTTACCTATAAATATTTATCTTCCTACCGCACTAGCCGGCGTAAAAAATGAACCTACTGTCTAAAAAAAAGCGTTTGGGTCAGGTAAGAGACGTAAACGTAGATCAATGAGGGGGAAATAAAGCCCGGTGGTTTGGCATTCGTGAGGAAAATTTTTACATCTAAATACATTAACTGATATTTTATTGGGTAGCCAGTGAATCACCGATTCCACGATTTTTTCCGGGCGAATTCCATGCATGTTTACATGCCGGAATTGAAGAGGGTGGGGGCGTTGTTAATAGGCGATAGGCACGAAAATGGCAGACGTCTGTGTTTTTGTTTGACAGGTACATGAAATGCTTGGTAATAAATAAATTCTGTTTACATTGTGAGTCATGGAGGAATATCATTTTTCTCTGCTGCATCAATTTTTTATAGTAATACATAAGATACTAGGTAAGTACATATTGCGAACAGAATTCACTATAAACATTGCTTATAGAATACTTACAAAAAAATCTAATTTTACTCTTCAAATATTTTGGTAGAAAAATTGAGCGAATGATGCGTAAAGTTACAACACAATATTTGTAAAACCAAGTGAATATGTTGTATAGACCAACGGTGTATATGAAATTCATAAATGCTAAATCGAATTCCTCTTGACTTCATACGTCAGTAGCATGGACGATTTTCTTAATTTCGCAGTAATTTGTTCATACGATTTTAGTTTCCTTCAGCCACTTGTGATTTCCATTACAATAAAAATATATCCCCAATAAAATCGAATTCAACTCGATCTAAATAATAGCCGGCATTAAATTCTCGAAAGAAAATCCCACTGCATCAGTGAAAACGCAGAGCTTTCGAAAACAATTTTCCAGCGCACCTCTCACTCGGTCCATAACATTTTTCATTTGAGTAACAGCTAATAAATAATAAAGTTCGCAGTAAAAGGCAAAGGATTGAGATTGTAAAAGTTGCCAAGTACACTTTTATGATGTAGCAATAAACTAATCCCGGCACCTGAACACCCGAAAGGAACTTACACTTCTACAAGTTCCGAATGATTTACTTCTTTATTCCCTCCAGAGCCGGTTCCACGATTGATAAAAACTCTCTCAGACTAGTCACTAATGTAGAATGATAATTTTTCATTAATTGATAAATTCAATGAAAAAATGTTCGGTTTATATCAATTCCCATCATCTCTACGATTGCATTATATTCCATGTATGGTATACTAATAAACCCTACGAAATTAATAACTTTGATTTTATAGTAATTTTAAGTGCGTGTTTTCATTAAGTAACTTCGAAAGAATTTAGTAAGTTTCATCCAGAAAATTTATGAAAGTACCTACCTCAATCACGTAGAGCAGAAAGCCGTGTATGGTAAGTTAAAAATAAATGAAAACTGATGGAGTTAAAATAGCTGAACGTGAAGAAATATCCAAAAACCGGTCCTTATGCTTCATCACTTCCGAATCTTCTTCTTTTTTGCAGTCAACGCTCTTCTCGTTTTATTTACCTGAGATCGTTTAAACGGCGATGACACATCCCAGGTGTGTCCTTTAAAAATCTTAATTTCTTTGACGGAATGCGCCTCTTTTGCCTCCCGACGTGTTTTATTGTGTTTCGGACTCTGGAAGATTTTCTTTTTTTTGATTTCACGTTTTCAATGAAGCTAGGTGCACCCGACAGTGGGTTTATTAGTAAGTTATTGCCGTTTGTTGGTCACGTGCGAAAAATTACTAGAATTTTTGTATATTGTATACTTAGGCTAGCATTTTTACAACAATGTTCTGAGAAGTGCGAGTGGAAAAAATCCAAAGAGCCGTTATTTTTTTTTAATTGTCGACATCCCCAATTTTCGCCTAATTAACTCCAATAACGACGTATGTTACCGCCAGGGGAGGAAACCTTCAGCAGAGACACTAGAATGAAGTTGCCACCTGCACAAGTGTGTATCTACATCATAAAAAGGAGGGGTGAAAACGAGCGGAAAGGGGTGAGTTCTAGCACGTACGCACGTGAAAGGGTTAAAGTATCGTCCTTAAAGGTCGGAATGAGAAGTGAAACTTCGCTCGCCTCCCCCGCGTTCCATCCCCTATGGAAGCGACTACACGGGAAACTATGCGAAGGGTACAGTCCGTTGTGGATACTCGACGTGTTTTGGGAATTTCTAGTACAATTTAATTTGTACGTAGGTAGTTCAGGTTCGACGAGGAAAGGGTGATTCTTCAATTATTAAACGGATCAAAAATGCGTTTGATGTTAACCCGAAACTTAGATTTCAGTTTTCGACAACTTTTTAATGGAATTACCAGCACAATAAGTTTAAGAAACGTTTTGAGATATATCGATCATGTATTCATTGTAAAATAATTTAGGGTGGATAACAATGCAGCATACAACCCTTTATTTAATCGTCGCTTCGCCTGGTATGCTTTTGCGCCAATTCCGAAGCAAATGTTAATTCCCTTGCAACTACGTTGTATTGATAGAAATTAAACCAATGTTTGCGTATTCAAAATTTCAATTACCTACTATGTTTGTTTCAACTCGGTGTACTTACAAACGCCAAGCGGTTGGAAAGCGTGTGTACAATCATGTTTTCATACAATAATATTATGTTGTCTTATCAGAGGAATTTACAAAGTACGATTTTTTGAGAGTTCGTGTAATTGTACGAATAATTTGAATTGTTTACGTAATTCAAATAATCAGATTAATTTTTAATTACTTTGAGTTTATAATTTGAAACACAACTTGCTCTATTGACTCCAAGTAAATTATAACATAATAAAAGGTATATGAAAAGTATAGTTAGTCTGTTCGAAACTGTTCGTATTTTTATTACCTATGTGCATAGTTTTCGAAACGGAACAATAAAAAAATTCGAAACGAATAACATTTTACCG